ACCTTTTGTGTGAGCCCTCATGCCAAGTGCTTTTAAAACTTCAGAGTGCTCTGGGAATGGCGGCTGTTCCTGTGGGCCCCAAGATTGAAGGAAAGCAAAGGGCCGGAGATGGGGGAGTAGCGTGGCTCTTCACACTCAGAGTCTCTGATCTGGCTGTCCATTTCCTGGCAAGACTCTGAAGGGACTATTAAAGGGATGGTTTGTGGGGATCTCTCCTAGTGCCCTGGATTTCAGAATAATTCCTGCCAGACTGAACTTCATGTCTGTCTCTTGTCCAGGCCACTGGTTCAGCCCCTGTAGTCTAGACCTGGTAGGGTTAGTGTAGGGACTGGACCTGGTACATTGGTAGCGGGAATTCCCAGGGGAGCAAACTCCCTCCACCTGTGTGGGTTGGCACCTTTTCTACACCATATATTCTTAGAGGGTTCCCTGAGGTTAAATGACTGGACCACCTAGTCAGTGTGGACCTGAAGTGGGGCCTGAGCACAAATCCTCCTGGCTTTGACATCGGCCCTCTATCAGGCCACACTGCCTTACCAATTTTCAATTCAGTAAATATTTAATAAGCCCCTACTATGTGCCAGGCCCTGTGCTAAGTGCTTGGGATACAAATAAGAAAAAGACAGACAATCCCTGCCCTCCAGGAGCTTACAGTCTAACAGGGCAAGACAACACACAAAAGGAAGTGAAAAGGGGAGCCATGTGTGGGGGCCAGATGGACAGACTGGAGAGAAGCGTGATGAGAATGAGAATGCCTTTGGTTTGTGAAGCACTGAGCCTCAAAATAACCCTGGGAGGCCTAGAAAGTCTGTGTCCCCATTTTACAGCTGAGGGAACTGAAGCCCGTGGAAGTTGGGTCACTCAGCCAGGAAGTGTCTGAAGCAAGATTCACACTCAGATCTTCCTGACTCATGGCCAAGCAGTCGATCCACTGCTCCCTGTTGTCTCTGCCGAAGACAGATAATAGGACAGGCGGGGGGTGGGGTGGGGGGAGGGGTGGCTTCCAGAATTTGCTGACTAGTGCCTCCTAGACTGTTGATCAGTGATTGATAAGGAGGTCTCTAGCAGCCTGTTCAGGGACTCTATCCTGTTCTTACTCTGTTCAGCCTGAGAGGGCATGCTTATCCCACAAAGCTGAGAAGGATGGTTTGGGATGTAGAAAGTGAGGACGGGTCAGAATAGTGCGCTGAAACTGAGAAGTTGCAAGTCAATAGAAATCATAATTCAAGAACTGAAGGGAACCTTTGTGACCACCAAGTCCAACCACTCTCGCTTTATAATTGAGCTCAGACTGAGGCAGACAGCAGCAAAGTGACTTGCCTGGGGTCACACTAGTAAGTGTCTGAGGTCAGATTCTAACCCAAGTCTTCCTGGCTCCAAGTGCGGTGCTCTTGTGGCGCCACCGGCCGCTTGCGTGGGAATTCAAGAAAGCAACAATCCCCCATGAGAACATGATGAGCTAAGGTGGCTGGAAAGCAGTTCACTTGAAAATGATCAGAAAGTTCTAGTGGACCTCCAGCTCAGCGCAGGCCAACTGTGTGACGTGCTGACCGCCCAGCCTCTTTGGCCGTCTTGAGTAGAACCACCCTGTGTGGAGCAGAGGCTTTTCCCCTTTTTATTTCTGTGGCCGCTTTTTCCTCTTGACCTTTCTTCTATCATGGATCTCTTGGGCAGGCTGTCTTAGGGGAGCCTGAGGTCAGACTTCTCACATATTCTCTTTTGAACTAGTAATTAATGGAAGGAAACACTAAATTTCAGTTGGAGCTAAGTAAAGATAAAGATGCCGTGTTTCCCATCAAAGTTCACAGATACCCCCCCCCGCACTGCTCTGTGGGCTCATCACATGTGAGGAATGGGCCATGGAAGAGGAAGGTAGTGAGCTGGAGAGGAGGCTTGGGAGGCGCGATCATTGACTTCCTTTGTGGAGGGCATGAGTTGGGGAAGACTCATTGCTTGCTTTGCTTGCCTCTCGGTTAGAGATTCTTAATCTGGGGTCAGTGAACTTACTTTATTACAGTTTGATTTTCTTTGTAATCCTATGTATTTTATTTTATGCAGTTGAACACATGGTTCTGAGGTGGGGTCTGTCTCATAGTTTCACCAACTCCTTAAGGAATCAGTGAGGGTGAAGAGCCCCTGCTCCAGGGCCTGGAACTCAAATTGGTATACATGACTAATAATCAGAACTTTTCCAGAAACACAAGTATGTCCGGGGGGAGAGTGAGTTCCCAGTCCCCAGAAGCATTCAAGTGCAGGCTATCCCCAAGATTGCTGTAGAGGGGATTCACATTCAGGCCATGATTGGGCCAAATGCGTTTGGGGCATCCTTCAGATGTAAATTCCAAGATTCTATGAAATGGGCCTTAACTTTGAACCTAATGATGTGTTTTCAGCTGGGGAGGGAGCCTTAGGGGGCACACTGAGTCCATACTGAGGGGAAGCGGCCAAGATTGTAGGGGACTCTTCTTACCTGTTGGTGTTTTCTCGCTTTCACGTATCTCAGGAACCCAAGAATTTGTCCTTTAGTACTCCCAAGATTGTGCTGCCCCCAGCGCAGGTTTCTTCTTAACTTGATCTTCTCAAGGACGGTTGTCTCCTTGTCTGACGCAGGTGGTGCTTCTGCTCTCATTAGCGAGGAGAATGAGTCTGTGGAAACGCGAGCAGAATGGGCTGGTTTTCCTTTGGACTTCTTGAAATGTGATGTCTAGGCTTGGATTTTGATTATAGCTTCCTGGTGGCCCAATAATTCTTAAATTATCTCTCTTTGATCTGTCTTCCAGGTCAGTTACTTTTCCACTGAGGTATTTCACATTTCCTTCTGTTTTTTCCCAGTAGTCTGACTTTGTTTTATGGTTCCTTGATGGCTCGTGGAGTCATTAGGTTCCTCTTGGCCAATCCTAGTTTTTAAGGAGTCATTTTCTTCCGTGTCTTGATCTTCCCTATCACTATAGTAACTTTTTATGGTCAAGTTCTTTTTTTGTTGTTTGTTCTTTTTTTTCAGCCTGTTTCTTGACTTTGGACTTTATGTTAGGGTTGAGCTCCTCTCACCTAGGAGTGGGGAGGGATGTCTGGCCTGAGCGTCTGGTTTATATGCCTTCCTGCTGCTTTGATAGCTTCAATGGGGGCCTGCAAGTTTTTGAGTTCTGGTCACTGCCCTCCTGGTTTGCACTCTGGTCTTGAGCTTTTCTTCCCTGGCACTGTGACTTGGCACTGGTGGTACCTGGTCCTGTGCCCGGTGCTAGCACAGGAGTCTTTTCTGATCAGGTATTGTCTGCTTACTGCTCTGGGTGTTGGCCAAGCTGTGGCCTAGGTCCCCCTCCAGCGTCTGCAGATCTCCCTTTTTGTCTTCCTAAGCTGCTGTGGGCTGGAAAAATGACTCATTGTGACTTTTTTTATTAAACCACTCAGAATTCAGTTTGATATACTTTTTAAAGTTGTTCAGAGGGGTGGGTTGAGGGAGCTCAGAAAAATTACTGACTTCCCTCTACCATCTTGGTTCTACCCCCCACCTCTCAAGCAGTGTGGTTCTGGCTCTTTGTTGAACTTCTTTCATTTTCGTCTCTGAATGTTCCTGAGATGATCTGATAAAATTGAATCTTGTGCCATTCTTTCTATAGACTCATTTTCTCCTCTACCACTTTTCATTGCCAGATGAGATGATGGTGCTTTTAATCTGGCACTTAGCACAATGGACTTAGTATAGCACACAGGGGCTCTTAGTGTTTATTGGTTATTGATTGATCAAATGAACTGGAAAGGATTTCAGAGGTCATCAAGTCCAGCCCCTTTGTTTGACATAGAAGGAAACAGGCCTAGTGAAGGAAAGGGACTAATTTAATTTTTTTCAATTAACAAGAATTTATTTTTCTCACTCCTGTCTTGCCCTTGCCCTACTATGAAAAACAAAAAATAGCACTCTCATGATAAATATACATAGTCAAGCAAAATAAATTCCCATGCTGACCATATATAGAAATGTATTTCATATTCTGTACATTTGTCCCTCATCCTTCTGTCTTGGGGTGGGCAGGCGGCTGGCTTCCTCATGAGTCCTGTGGAATCATCCTCAGGCTGAGTTCTTAAGTCTTTCCAAGGCTGTTTTTATGATGTTAGTTTTATAGAAGTTTTCCTACTTCTGCTCGCTTTTGTCTGTATCCATCTATCCCAAGCTTCTCTGAATAATATTCTATCACATCTATATACCACAATTTGTTCCATCATTGCCCAGTTGATAAGCATGCCCTTCTTGCCAGTTTGGGGCTTTCACAAACGGAACTTTTATAACTATTTTTGCATATATAGATCCTTTCCCTTTTTCTTTGATCCCTTTGCAGAATAGGCTTAGTAGTGGCATTGCTGGGTCAGTGACTTTGGGGGTGTGACTTCTACTCTGATCCCAACATAAAGCTTGGTAACTGGTGCCCTCAGCTGGCAAGCAGATGATATGTAGCAGGGTGGTTTCCGGGCTGTCTTGAAGTGTTCATTATGGTGATTGCATCAGTTAAACTTCTGGAGGAAATGGTGATCATCAGAGTTAACGTGTGTTCTCTTTTCCCATTTTTGAGTGTCAGGAGTTCACTTGGTTCAGCCCAGTTAGATGGCATACATTTGAATGTCACTTTGCCCTATTGGTTTATGTGTCTTAAGGCAGCGTTGTGAGGAAGAAAATACCAGGCCTGGGACTCGGGACATCTGGCTTTGTTTTGTGATGTTGGACAAGCCTTCCCCCTTCTTCCTTTCTGGCCCTTAGTTTGTCCCTCTGTAAATGAGGGGGCCTTTCTGTGATCGTGCCTTTGCCCCCTCTTACTCAGTTGTTTCTGGCCTCACTTCCTTTTGGCCTGCACGTTCCTGCCCTCAGTCTTGGTCAGTATGACCTAACGTTCCAGCAGGGAGAGCCAGCCAGAGTGCTTGTTGGGGGGGTTGGGGGCAGTGATCTCTGCAGCCTTGGCCTCCCTGGCAGTGTCTGACCAGCCCTATTCACATTCTTCTTTTCATTGCAGTTGTAGGACGAGCAACCGAAAGAGCCTGATTGTTCCATCCAGCACATCCCCGACCCTGCCCCGGCCCCACTCACCGCTCCATGGCCACCCAGGTAAGCTGCTTTGGAGGGAGAGGGGACGAGGTGGGTCCTCACAGGCTAGGACAAAGGCCCTGGTTAACACAGGCTGACCAGAGGCCGCTAAAGTCATGGAGGGGTAAGATTGTTGCCTGGGCTCCCCCAGACAGAGGGCACCATGAACATGCAGAGGGAAGCCTTTTTTACTTCTTAAAAAAAAAAAAAAAAAAAAAAAGAAGAGATTGTACTGGTGGAGAAACATCCTCCTTACCCTGTCTCCAAATTGGGTCCCCTTTTGTAACAAGCAAAGATACTCACTACAGCAGTGCCCATGATGGTCCGCCCTAGCAGCCCCTGCCTCTGTGCCAAGAGGACAGAAGGGTTTTTAAAGAAAATTTTCCATGTTTAGCTTCCTTTTCAGTGTGGCAGTGGGTGGGTCCAGATGGTGCTCGTGTCCATGCTGCCCTGGACCACCCGTCTTCACACATTTGTCACACATTTCTTTGTAGCGTGCGTCCATTCCATTCACATGGGAAAGTTGGTAAAGCTGCTCCCTTGCCGACGGCTCCAATCTAGGACTTCCTGCTGCAGAAGCCCCTGCCCTCATGTGGGGCTGGCAGCCCAGGAGGGAGGCCTTGGAGAAGCTACCAGTTGGAGGATATCCCAAGTTGGGGTGACCAGGAGGTCTGGGGAGAATGGAGCTCATGCCTGAGAGCTGCGGGTGGAAGGGAAATGAGGGTGTGTGAGCTGGAGGACAGAACCTCAGGAGGGATATGACCTTTGTTCTCAGATGCTCAAAGGGCTGCAGACCCAGTTGAGATTAGGTACCCCTGAGGGCCCATTCCACTCAGAGAGTCTGCAATTGAAATGCCAAACATTTATTAAGTGTCTACTGTGTGTAAGATCCTGTGCTGAGCACCAGAGAGACAAGAGTGGACAATTACTAGTCCTTTCCTCAAGAAACTTACAGTTCAATGGGGGTTGCCACATGTGCAGAAATAAGTCTGATACTTGGTAGAATGTGAGAGGACCATAGGAGAGGCATGCTAAAGCCCTGGGGTGTTCAGATGTCCCCAGTGCAGCACTGACGCTTAGCCACATGATAGAGTCAGTGAGTGGGGGCTCAGAGCTATTGGAGGGAGCCCTTGAAAGTTGTTTTGCTTTGTTTTTAATGTCTTTATTTCATAACATATTTCCCAATTGCATTTAAAACTTGTTTCAACATTCATTTTTAAAATTTTGAGTTCCAAATTCTTTCCCTCTTTCCCAACCTTGAAAAGGTAAGCAATTTGTTATGGATTATGCATGTGAAGTCATGCAAAACAGATTTCCATCTCAGCCATCTTGCAAAAGAAAGCACACATACACACTTCCCAAGAATAATAAAGAGAATTAAAAAAGTATGCTTCAATATGCACTAAGAGTTCATCAGTTCTCTCTCTGGAACTGGATAACATTTTTCATTGTGGGTCCTTCGGAATTAACTTCAATCATTGTCTTGATCATTGTAGCTAAGTATTTCACAGTTGATCATTTATATTATTGATGCTACTATGTACAATGTTCTGGTTTTGCTCACTTCGTTTTGAGTCAGTTCACATAAGACTTCCCAAGTTTTTCTGAAACCATCCTGCTCATCATTTCTTGTAGCTCAGTGCTATTCCATCACATTCATATACCACGGCTTGTTCAGCCATTCCCCAATTGATGGGCATTCCTTCAGTTTCCAATTCTTTGCCACCATAAAAAGAGCTGCTATAAATATTTTTTACAAACAGGTGCTTTTTCCTTTTCTTTGATTTCTTTGGGATACAGACCTAGTAGGAGTATTGCTGGATCAAAGAGTATACACAATTTTATAGTCCTTTGGCTATACTTCCAAATTGTTCTCCAGAGTGGTTGGATTAGTTCATGACTCTAGCCGCAGTGTATAAGTATCCCAGTTTTTCTGCATCCTCTCCAGCATTTGTCATTTTCTTTTCTGTCCTGTTAATCGATCTGACAGGTGTAAAGTGGCACCTCAAAATTGTTTTATTTTGCATTTTTCTTATGACTAGATAGCTTCGATTACTTCTTCTGAAAACTGCCTGGTGATATCCTTTAACCGTTTGTCAACTGGGGAATGGCTCTTGACTTTATAAATTTGAGTCATTTCCCTATATATTTGAGAGATGAAGCCTTTATCAGAGAAATTTGCTGTAAAATTTCCCCCCAGTTTCCTGCTTTCCTCATAATTTTGACTGCATTAGTTTTGTCTGTGCAAAAACTTTGTAATTTCATGTAATCAAAATTATCTGTTTTACTTCCCCTGATCCTCTCTCTTATTTGGCCATTAAACTGTTCTGTTATCCATGATCTGACTGGTAAATTTTTCCATGCTCCCCTAATTTACTTTTGATATCATCCTTTATGTCAAAATCATGTATCCATTTTGACCTTATGTTAGTATATGATAGGAGATGTTGGTCTGCTGCCAAACAGCCTTCCAGTTTCCCAACAATTTTTGTTAAATGGTGAATACTTGCCCTCAAAACCTGGATCTTTGGGTTTATAGTATACTAGATTACTATGGTCATTTGTGTTCTTAATCTATTGCATTGATCTACCACTCTATTTCTTAGCCAGTACCAGATTGTTTTAATGGTTACTGCTTTGTAACGTAGTTTGAAATCTGGTCCGTCTAGGCTGCTTGTCTTCACATTTTTTTCATGGATTCCCTTGATATTCTTGATCTTTTTTGTCCTTTCAGATGGATCTTGTTATTATTTTTTCTAGCTCTATAAAATCATTCTTTGGTAGTTGGATTGGTATGGCCCTGAATAGGTAACCCATGAGCAATAATACTTCTCCACTTGTTTAGATCTGTCTTTATTTGTGTGCAAAGTATTTTGTGATTCTGCTCATGTGGTCTCCGGGTTTGTCTTGGCAGGTGGACTCCTAAGCCTGTGTGTAGTTATTTTAAGTAGAATATCTCTTTCTGTCTCTTTCAGCTGGGTTTTGTTGGTAATTATTCGTAGAAATGCCAGTGATTTGTGTGGGTTTTTTTAGGTGATTCTCTGAGTGCACTATCACTTGGTGTGCGAAGAGTGATAGTTATGTTTCCTCCTTGCCTATTCTAATTCCTTTAATGCCTTTATCTTCTCTTCTTGTTATAGCTCATATTTCCAGTACAATGTTGTGTAATGGAGGTGGTAGTGGACATCATTGCTTCTCGCTGACTTTGTTAGGATGGCGTCTTGCTCATCCACATTACGTATTACACTTGTTCTTGGCTTTAAATAGATACTACTTACCATCTTAAGAGAGGTTCCATTAATTCTTATACTTTCTGGTGTTTTTAATAGAAATGGATATTATATTTTGTCAAAAGCCCTTTCTGTAAATAGTGATGTAATCATATGGTATTGCTTGGTTTTGTTACTGATACAGTCATTTATGCTTATAGCTTTTCTAATATTGAACTAACCTGCATTCCTAGTATAAGTGCTACCTTGTCATAGTGTAGGATCTTTCTAGTTGTTTCATAGTGTTGTTTCTATTGTAATCTCCTTGCTAGAGTTTTTGTAAAATTTTTGCATCAATGTTCATTAGAGAAATTGGTCTTTTTTTTTTATCTGTTTTTGCTCTCCTTGATTTAGGTATCAAAATCATGTTTGTGTCATGAAAGGAATTTAGTAGGATGCCTATTTTTTTTTCAAATAGTTTGTATAATATTGGAATTAATTGTTCCTTAAATGTTTGGTAGAATTCTCTGGCGTGTTAAATTTCTTTTTCTAAGGGTTATTTAAGTATTCTATTTCCTCTTCTATTAATCTGAGCAACTTATATTCATCCATTTCACTTAGATTGTTGGTTTTACTGGCATATAATTGGGCAAAATAACTCCTAATAATTGCTTTGATTTTATCTTCGTTGTTGGTATGTTCACTTTTCATTTTTGATACTGGTAATTTGGTTTTCTTTTTTTAAAAAACAGAATTAACCAATGGTTTATCTATCTTTTTCCAGCTCTTAGTTTTATTTATTAGTTCAGTAGTTTTTAATTTTATTAATCTCTCCTTTGATTTTCAGAATTTTCATTTTGCTATTTAGTTGAAGATTTTAAATTTGTTTTTCTAGGGTTTTTTTTTTTTAGTTGCGTGCCCAATTCATTGATCTACTCTTTCTTTTTTTAAAAAATTTATTTTAATTTATCAGCAATCACTTCCATAAGCTTTTGAGTTTTAAATCCCCCCCCCCCCCAAGACGGTGCACAATCTGATGCAGGCTATACATACACATTCCTATTAAACATATTTTCACGTTAGTGATGTTGTAAAGGAAGAATTAGAACCAACAGGAGGAACCACCAGAAAGAGGAAACAAAACAGAAGAAAAAAACAGTAAATAGTATGCTTTGATCTGCATTCAAACTCCATAGTTCTTTCTTTGGATATGGATAGCATTTTCCATCAGGATCTTTTTCTCTTTTATTGATGGTATTTTAGAGATATAAATTTTCCTCTAAGTGCTGCTTTGGCTGTATCTACAAATTTTGGTATGATGTATCATTGTTGTCAGATTTTCTATTCATCTCTGGTCTTTTTCTCAGGAATGCTTAAAAGTCCTCTATTTCTTTTACCCCCCCCCCCCTTTTTTTTCCCCCTGAAGGATTTTAGTCAGTTTTACTGGGTAGGTTATTCTTGATAGTAATCCTAGCTCTTTTGTCTTCTGGAATATCATATTCCTAATCGAATGCTTCTTTAATGTGGCAGCTGCTAAATCTTGTGTGATCCTGAATGGGGCTGTGAATTCCTGGCTGCTTGAAGTATTTTCTCTTTAACATGGAAGCTCTGGAGTTTCGCTGTAATATTCCTGGGACTTTTCATTTTGGGATCTCTTTCAGGAGGTGATTGGTGGATTCTGTTTCTATTTTGCCCTCTGGTTCTAGGATATCAGGGCAGTTTTGCTTGATAATTTCTTGAAATATGATGTCTAGGCTCTTTTTTTGATCATGGTTTTCAGGTAGTCCAATAATTTTTAAATTATGTCTCCTC